AATTGACAATCGTCTAATTCCCGTGAAAACGGCGGTTAATGACGGTTAAACGGTTTCATTCGTTCAAACAGTAATACAGCATACATACAGCTTCTGCGGTTGACAATCCAAGTCGTATTGTCTTTGTCTGCGATGACCGTAAAATATGACGACGACGACGACGACGACGATAAATTATAATAACAACAACAACAACCACAACAACAACAACAACAACAACAACAACAGCAACAACAACAATAATTATTATACCAACAACGACAACAATAATAAATTAATTAACAACAACATTACAGCAGTAACTACTACAACAGTGCGTCGAGGCAAGACGACCCGAACGCCGATGCCGACGCTCCTGCGATCCTGATAGCCGGCGCTACGTCGCACGGCGGACAGACGCACACGTTGTGCTAGCAAAAAGCAAACCACATCCGGTGCCGACACGAACGTCGTCGTCCGGCCGATGGTATCCTAGTCGGGCGCGCACGGTGAAACGGATCCGAAACGGCGTCGTGGAAAAACGCGGCGCGTACCACGGCGGTCGGCCCTGCGGGCCACGGCGCGTCGGCCGGCGGCGTTTAACCCGGTGGAATCTGTGGGTTAAACCGACCGTGTCGGTACCAGGGGCCCATGAGCGCGCACGCCGCACGGCGGTCCGCTGATGCTGCACCTGGATGACACCTGCACGACGACGCACGCTTGCTGCGGCCGTGATCGCGTCCGGTTTGACGGAGCGTAGTGTAGTACCTATAACAACGACATTACAACGATATCACAGCGCTCGAAACGCAACGCCACCGAAACGACACCGTTTTAAATTACGCACGCAATATGGGCGCGTGCAAACGTAAACATTAATTGCTTGAATAATGTGTGGGTACACTCGCTTAATACATTTTTTTTTTCCTTTACACAATAATTATGACTTTCACGAGTACAGCTATTTTCCAAAACCAAAATATTTTATATATCTGAAAGACGATCTCCCTATACAGTGTAGTAACTGCTATATATAGTTGAGAGTACACTTTAAGATATAAACTATAAACTGTCAATAAACATTTTTTAATTAGGTTATAATGTTTGAAAATTTAGTACAAGGATCTTCAAAAGTGTTTCTACCTGTAACAGGAAAAAAAATTACCAGAAATAAATAACGTTGATTTTTTATGAACGTTTAAAGTTTGAATTTTTACGATATTGAAAAAATATTCTTCATCAAAATAGTACGTTTATTATTAAAATAGCCATCAACAGCTGATGACGAAACTTTTTCCAGCACTATCATAGAAAAAATTAATTAATAATTTTTTTTTACGAATAAATTATACGTTTTGCCTGTTAACATGCAAGCTTATTGTTTTGAAATGTTCACTTTTTACCCCGTAAAATGAAAAATTCATCGAGATGGCCAATAAAAGGTATTACCAGCATACTCTCTTCATAATTAAGATACATTTTACTCGACAGTAAAAACTAACTTTTTCGAAATTTTAAGAAACACGCCATATTTTATAAGCGTAATTAACTTATAATTGAAAAAAATTATTAAATGTCCAAGCACAACGAACTCGGCAATAAATACAATTTTTCTCTCTCTATTTTTTCGAAATGATATATATATGTACAATAACTACAATTTATGTTATTTTTATTGAATTTTTAAGTATGATTATAAAGGAAAATTAAAAAAAAAATAAGTTCTGTGGAATCGGTTAATAGAACCAAAATAACCTATATTAATATTATCAAACTATAAGCAGTATAAGCAATACCCTATACAGAGTGCCAGTGGCCTATTTAGGTTTTTGTCATGGGGGGAATATGACTTTATAAATGAAGATACCAATGAAAATATTGTAGGTACAATATATTATAATATTTTAAAATTCTTGCAAATTTAATCAATTATTGATAAAAAAAGAAAAACTAATAATAATTTTTTAAATAATATGATGGCTATAATTATTTGTGTGTATACAGTCTATGGGGTATTTATCCCTTTGATCCCCCCCCCATAAATACGCCATTGCAGAGTGCATCACAATGATCAGACACTTTAAAATGTAATTTTAATGTAAAATTGTCTTATCTCTATAATATATTGCGTATATTACTAATTATAATATATTATTCGTATATACCTAGCTATTAAAAATAGGAATTATTGTAAAATATAGAATACGGACTACTTATCTACTTAAATATTTTACTTTTATAACATCACGTCGTCAGATTTCCTATGGTTTAGCACTATACAAATATTCATCATCTGTGAATATACCTTCTATGCCATAGGAATTGTCAATAAAAATCGTATTACGAGAGAGATTTTTGGGAACCATTATTATCAAAGCATAATATTTTTCATAATTATGTTTCAATCGTCGTTGTCGATTTTTCGTATCAGAATGATAACGTTAAATCGTCAACCATAGTCCATAGACCTACGAATAGAATTTGAAACGGATACAGTTATTCCAGAAAAGACTGCAGCTTATTGTTTAATATTACACGATAAAATTATTACATATAAGTATATAACCTGTTTAGTGGTGATGTTAGAAAATTGTAAGCCTTGTAAATATTTATTGTAAGATTTAATATTAAAAAACGAAAATACATTTTTTAAATATCACGATTATATTATTTTTATTTTATACAAAATTATTTCACAAATATTATTTAAATAGTTTACATTACTTATTCCGTACTAAAATTAATAAAATTTCTTTTTAAACTGATCGGGCCGTCATTCTCATCAACTGCAAGAGTTTATTAAATATTCAGATGAAGTATTCCATGGTGCACGTTGCGCACAATCTCACATATCACCATAATATGTTCGTTGTTCTCATTATCAACCTATACAAAATAATTTGTCAATATGAACTTAGCAAAAAAAAAATATATATATATATATATTACAATGAAAAGAGTTCAAGTTTTGCGTTCTGCTGAGCAAATTTTTTCGTGGACTTGTCACCTGTGAAGCCGAAAATAGATTGTGAAGATAGCTGTAGACTGCTGCTAAAACTATCGCTCTCATCAATAAGCTATACAAAATAATTATAAATTAGCAATATATATTTATTATAAATATTATCTTTGGTTTTGTTTCCCGAATTCGTGAGCATATTACCTGTGTGGGATTCATTTTGGAGAATTTTGAAAAATATTCTCTTATGCCTCTTTCTTTGTTAGCTCCCCATAAAATTATAGTTATTAATACTTAAATTATTTCAATATATAAGTTTTAAATTATCCGTGACTGTAAAGGGTCTTCATCATCATAATATGAGTGAAACGGAGACATGTTCGAATATCTGGGTGGTGACGGCTGTGGTATGATGTCGACAATTAACTAAAAATTAAAATTAAATAAACATTTTTACAAGTGATATAAATTAAAGATTTACCTCTGGCGAGTTTTCTTCTTTGCTCCATAGTTGTGACCATTGTTCGGCTAATTGGCTTGTTGCAAACATTTTGAGTTGACTTAATGAGATTTACATTTTCTTTAGGAAAGGATCCAACAATTTGATCAACACACAAATTTTTAATAAACATTTTCATTTAATCTATGTTTTTTGGTGGTGTTTCAACTTAAGTAAATTCTCGGTCTATAATATAGACTCTATATAATAATCGAGCATTATAAACTGTTTTTAGACTAGTGATTGTATGATGGTCGACTATTGTGCAATTGTTTCGTGAATTGACCATTCTATATATTGAAGTTGCACCAAATCCGAGCGATTTAGCAATATGCGACATCCGTCTTGTTTTTTGGACTCAATGACAAGCATATTGTACCCTTGATAAACTATACTAGTCAACGAAATAATTTCTGTTTTCAGAAATAAGGTTTTTTTTGTATTGTAGTGGTTGGTCCAATATGTAGGAAAATAAATTTCCCATTAGCGCGAATATACGTTGTAAAAATTTGGTGAAAAATTTAAATATCGGGATGAAGTGATTAATGATTATTTACATGACTGTGTTAAATTTATCTCTTGGATTAAGTCTTATGTTCAAAAATTTACGACCAGCAAAGTCGATTATGAAATTATCGCAGTCAATGAGTTCTTTAGACGGAGTCGGTGGCGCGTATATAAACTTCTTCTCGTACACTCCAGCCGTTCTCTCAACCGAACCAGACATCGTTGTAAATAAATAACTTACGCGATGTTTAAAAATTAAACACAAGGTATACTTAAATAATGATAAAAACAATATAAAAACGTTTTAAACACGAATCAAGCAAGCAGTTATGGTGTACTGAAGTATAAGGCTGGAGAAACACTAAACGACGACTGATGTCTCTTTCGGTCAAGAGTCTCTCTCAAGTTAAAGTATTATATGGTGAAAGTGAATGTATCATTTATATGCGAATTAATTATGCTGCTTAATATAAATATAAATAATAAATATATAAAGTATCAATTAAGTTTTTTTTACATATCCTTGTTAGTAGATGTCTACCCCTCTACCCTATTAAGAATCAATAGAAATTGCCATTTTACTAATTGGAAGTAGATTCTTTGGGTATAGACCTACCTGGTTGTGTGACAATGCTAATGTCATTCCAGTATCAATGGGTTTTCTATACTTTATATACATTTTTGTGTATTATTTTTCCAAGTATAAGAGGGAACTATACGTTGTTAAAAAATTTATTTTTATAATATTCGTCTTAGTATACGGTAACGAAATAATATCACGTATGTGATATGTATGTTATCATTTGCGCGCGATAAAAAACTGATAACTGATAAAACATTTGTGATAACTTAAGCTGCTTACGTATGTGACGTATGTGTGGGCGTGGTGGGGGTGGTGGCTGAGGAGTGATGCAGAGTTTAGTAAGAGGGTCTGGGCGGCGGCAGATTGAGAGCCGATAGTGAGGATGAGCAAGACAGCACGGGATGAGTAAGAGAGCATTGGGATGAGTGGGCTGGTGCTCTATTTTTAATACTATTTTTTTTTTATAAAATTATCTATTTTCCAGTTATAACTTGACTTCCAGAAACAATATCAATAAGATCTGATGTAATTTTAAATTGTCTTTTGCGGTTATACTCCAAGGATAATTTTTCATTCAGCGATTTAACATTTTTAGATGCAGAATCCATAGCTATCATACGAGCAGAATGTTCACACAAGGTGTTTTCTACCATGGCAAAAAACAAAAGCGAAACAGTAGAAAATTCAATGTAACTTCTCATACTTTCTTCATCTATTTCGTCTAAGCTAGCAATATGAGCAACCGTAAGAAGGAAATCTGTGTTATAAATGGAAATCCAATCAACTTGTGATGTGCCTTTAGTAACAACCCGGTTGTAAAATATTTGACAAGCAATAAATTCGGAGTAATTACATTCATTGAATATTTTTGAAACTTCTAGAAATGTGGGATTATCTTTTCCTATCTTAGAAACTGTAAATAAAATATTAGATTTATGCGATTTAGTTAAAAGTTCTTCTGATTTTTGTCCTATACACACGACTTTTGCAAATTTCTGATCAGGCCTGTTTAGTTCTTGTTTAACTTTGTTCACAACAGCCGTATGTATACCACCACACAGACCTCGATCTGACGTAATGGCAAATATGAGATGATTTTCAATGTGATCCAGCATATTAATATGTGTATACTGCTTATAAAATGATAGCGTGCCATGACCAAATGGACGTACGTCTTTCAGGAGACGCTCGGTCTTTGCCAGTTTGGCAGCCGACACAAGTTTCATGGACGAGGTGATTTTTTTGATGTTGCCAAATGACTGTATGCTTTTTTGAATGGTTCTCAGAGACATTTTACTTGAAGTTTTTGTCGAACTGCAACAAATGACGTGAGTACGTAACACAAGACAATAAATGCGACGGTCTAGGATCTAAAGATACGAAAGAGAAACTGAATACAGAAATCGTGGTTTTATCAGGAATAGAAAGCTAGGCGTGACGACGAAGATGTGTCAGAAACGAAAAAATAAACATACAGGCTTTAGGGTGAGTGACTACTGACTTGTATATGGGACGGGTCGAAAGCACTTATTTATCGATAGATTCGCGATGACTGAGTGTGTGACAAGATGTTAGTGGCGGCGCCAGGATTTTTTTCTAGGTAGGGTCAATGTGAGGCCAACAATTATAAGGTAGGGCCACAAAAAATGAGATTTTAACAAAAAATTACAAAATATATATAAAACGTATGTAATTAGAAAAATAATATTACGTAATTTTTAAAAATTGTACAATATAATATTTTAGAATAATTTAAATTACATACAAACCGTACAGTGAACTAGATACAAATACCATTATTTTTTGCTTTTGAAAAATGAGAATATTATTATGTCTATGATTAGGCCAGTGGTAGGGACAGGCATTTTCAGTTAGGGCCATGGTCCTACCTGGCACGTCCCTAACGCTGCCACTGCACAATGTACCAATATTATCATAATTAATTTAGAATTATCCTTGTTTTTCAAAATAAAATAAAAATTATTTTTGCTCACCTTTAAGGAGATGGCGACGAACACGATACAATGGATTTTACTGTTAGTAAAACATATGTATTTTATATGTAACGTATATATAAATGAAAATTACCATCGACGAAAATACAGACAACGAATTATGAAAAACTGTGATTGAAATCGGAATTAAAAACAGAAAAAACAATCACATGCATTTTGATGATTATTTCTATAGCGTAGTGCTGGACAACGGAATAGAATGTAAACAAACATAAAAAAATAAATGTTTTAGTGGTTAATATTTATTATTTCTGGAAATTATCAGCCATATAAATAAATAAATAATATATGCACAATTTTAATTATTGTAATTAGTTATTACCAGGGATATGTGTTCAGAGCCTGATTAAAGAATTGGTTACCAGTAGATTAGGGTTGATATGGCGCTTTTTCGAAGAATCTGGGAAGAGGGTAAGATGAGGGCTATAGAAAACGTATAAACATCAAGTTTTTTGTTTAAAATAAAATGTTTTTTTATATTTGATAAAATAATATACAAATGCATTTGAAATTTTAAAATTTATGATTGAATAACTGATTATTATTCATTAAAAAATTAAGTTTTTGTTTTACACTACATTTTTATATACAAAAAAGTTTTTTTACCTTGATTTTAACGTTGCAAAAGACTCCACTATTTCGTCGAAAGAAATATTTTTCATGAATTCAATTTCAATAAACAAAAGTGCAAGGGCCTTCATTTTAATCTATCACCATGGTAAAACCAAAAACACCCAACATTAGCTACGATAAAACACGATTATTACGACCCAGATGTTATAAAACGTTATCGCAAATATTTAATTTTAAATTATATTTATTATTTTTCTTCATATTCCATATAAGATTAATAATGAACATTTAAAAATATTATGGGCTGAATTCTGATACATTAGGATAATTAAAAAAAATAATTTTACCTTTAATTGAAGTGTATATTATGGAAACATTCTTAATTCATAATAAAAATATTTTGTGGCGTCCTTAATTTAACATTGGCTGATTGGCGCCTAAGCTGTAACTTACTCAGCCTATTAGTCTATCAGGCCCTGCTAATATAAAGTGACTTCTTATTCCTAATAAGCACGTATATTCTTCTTTCTATCATTACATATACTTATTATGCTAATAAGTAAAGATCGTGTATATTTATAAATTAAATAAATAGACTTTAACTTTAATATATATATATAAAAAAAAAAAATGGTAATAATACAGTGGTTTCCGCTTAATGTGATTGCATTGGTGTAAGCAATTTTGATAAAATTAACTATAATTACCGCATTGATTCCATATCTCATAACCCATATTTTTATCATTGACCTTTATATTGTCATACTTGAATGTATACGTTTAATAAAAATAAAATACATACATTATAGTAGGAAAAATATGTTTATTCGAGAATTGATTAATAGTTATTTACGATAATATTATGAAACATAAAATATTTTTAAATATAATGCAGAAAAATGCGATGCAAATCGTTTTAATAGTACCTAGTGACTACGGTTCGATGGTTTTTCGATATAGTATACAGTCGATGTTTTTGTAGCAAAAATGCTCTGTCATATACAATAATGTATTCTAAATTTTATTATATATTTTTAAGTTGATGTAAGAAAAACTTATGAGGACCCTTAAATTAAATGTCTAACTCTTTATTTTGAAAATTTTAAATTTATGAAATTTTTAACTAAAAAATAATTTTAAAATGTAAGTAGTTTTGACGAATTTCGTCAAGATTTTAACATTGACCGCTTTTAAAAAAAAGAAATATGCAGAACTGTATTTTTAAGTTGTTATAATATAATAAAATATTGTACGAAATTTTGTATTCAATTTTAAGAATTTTTGTCAACATTTTTACAGTAGTAAAATAGAAAACTAAATAAATTCAAATGTTTCAATTGGCAATAGTTAGATAATCATTAATCCAAATATTTAATTTTTTTTTTCATCGTGCATTTATGAAAAATAATAAAAGTTAAAATGAAATATTTCAATTTAATAATTAATATTTTTCGAATAATACTAAAATATCAAGAGTAGTTTGAAGAGAAAAAATTGTTATCTTACATGCATATATAAGTCAAAAAGAGCAAAAATATTTCTATTTTATTAAGTGTGTCATCAGTGGGTGACTTTTTTATCAAATTTTATTCATTATCATTTAAGCTTATTCTGCTTATTGTATAAAACTTATATAAATTATTAAATTTAAAACAAAGAATAGAAAAAAAAATTATACCATTATCCCTGAAGGTGCTATATACAGTTTTAAAATAAAATAAAATATATACATAATATAGTTTATGAGAAGGTCACGAAATATGTCATTATTAAGGCCACAGTAATATAGGTAGTATTCTTCATTTTTGTGAAATCGAGACAAAAATGTAAACGAAATTATTGATAAATATATTATATACATATACTATTACAAATAATAATATAATTATATTTTAATTATATTTTATACTCTCATTAACATTAAAAATCTATTAAATTCATAATTATATGTACATAAATAACTACTTTGTATAATAAACTATTTATTGGGTATTTCTAAAAGTGACGTTCACATTTTTTGTTAAAACTAGATCTAATTTAAAAACATTAAAATTATCTATTAATATAAATCTGTTTAATTACAATCAATAACCAAAAGATCTAGTGTGTGACCATTTTTGTGAATTTTTACTTCCTTAAAAAAGTGTTAATAACAATTTTGTTATTGAAAAAATGTAATCGAACGTGTGAAGTTATCATGCATAGAGTTCATATCAATAATGTCATGATGTTTAATCGAAAGATATATGAAGAGATTAATAATATTATTATCTTCAAATTTTATAAGACATAAATTTAAAATAAAAGAAAATCTTGGGGTTATTTTTGTTTTGGGAATTTATCTACTGTATATCGTTAGTGATATTATATGTTTTAAGTGTAATAAACTAATAACTTAAAGTCAATATTGATTAGTAAGTATAATAAGTTGGATATTTTATATTATTATGTTATAGAAAACGTTTAAAATTTACTACATATTGGTAACTAGAACTATTAAAATAAGTGTTCAATGGTCATATAAAAAGTACAATATGTTGCGGACCCGATACAAATAATGAATTATTATAAGTTGGAGACTGCGATAGATTGTAGAGTAGAACTTTTAACATTTTTTTTTTTCATTCTTAAAAATTTTACACCCCATTTATGTATTTACAAAAAATATCTTTTCATGATTTTATGATTAGTAAATATAACTAAATATAAAATAGTTATTGAAAACTACGGTTTTTTGATTTAGTTGTGGATTTTTTGAGATTATTAGAAAATATTTAATTTAAAATCTAATATCTAATTCTTACTAATTTAATCATCTATGTAAATAGGTAAATTTTTTCTTTAGCTATAAAATAACTATAAATTAAATGTTTTTTTTGTTCAAAAGAATAAGTTAAATATTTTTTCTGAAATTTGATAAAATTTTCAGTGTATTTAATTTACAACCTAAGTCTCTGATAAATCTAGATTCTGAAATATTTACTTATTGGCTGTATTTAAAAACATTATTATCATAATTAAGTCAAATTATTTCTATATAGATTTCTATGTGTATATATATTAAGGAACATTTTTGGAATCGTATAATGGAAACTTACTATTTAAAACTTTTATCTTTACATTTTTTCAAAATGTAAAGAATCCTTGAATTATATAATTATCAATTATCCAGACTGAGCGGTAGGTATATGGAGTGTCCAGAATCCGGACTATCACAAAATTATACAAAAAGTAGAAAAAAAGAGAAGTATTTTTAAAGTTAATTATATATATATATATATATATATATATATATAACAAATATATCTATGTAAACGTTTTAAATAATCATTATATTTATTCAACTTTTTTTTAACAAATAAATAACATGAAAATTTGTGGAAAAAAAACAGATACATATTCTGTTATTGCGACAGTTCTTACGAATTAAAATACTATTTAGGTAACGTATATAAATGTGTTTCATCTAATATTCGATAATTTGTAAGTATTGATAAATTCCATGAAATTGTACTTACCTGAATAATAAAAAGGAAAATTACTATTTATTACACGATAATTTGAAAATGTGTATTTGATCTTAAATTAAAAGTGATGTATGAATCATAATGATGAAATTAAGAATTGGTTAAATTAATTATTCGTTAGGTGTTATCAGACCAAACGTACGTAAATTGTATGCTATGCATTTAACTAATTAAGACACCTAAGTA